TGTTAGTAAATTAATTAATAATTCATCAACATATTGATTTACTCTGCTTTACATAAACCTGGTTACAGCAGGATGATTATGTTAGTTTAAATGAATTAACACGCCTGACTAATTCTAACTGATAGCACAGGCTGGGGTGAGGGAGTGACAGCAATCTCCACCACTCCACCTTAACCATACATCCAGAGTTTTAATTAATTTTTAAAGTCTGACACTTAGCCTCGTGCATCCTGACTGGAAAACTCAAAAATCTGTTTTTAGTTGTTGTCTATTTATTGTCCGCCTGGTCCTCACTCAGAGTTCCTATCTGATTCTATCTGATTTCTATCCGTCTTTCTCCAGCTGATCTTCAGTAATTGCTTCCTACAACTCAAAGATGTCATGCCATTGCGACATATATCTTAATTTTAAATATGATCAACCTATATTTATTAATGGGCCAAATGCCAAATGCCAAATACCAAATGCCTTCAAGCTGGTAGTAACTCAACCATTACTTAAAAGGCCATCACTTTAACCAGCTAGGGGCCAATTTCCAACCTTCCTTTTAATCTCAAAAAATCTTTAAGTAGTTGTGAAATGGCTAACTGATCATCTTTAGAGAAATCGTTTATTTAAAGAGTTTCACTCAGGTTTCAGAATTCATCACAGTACAAAAAAGCATTAGTAGGGGTTATAAATGATCTTCTCATGGCCTCTGGCAGTGGCACGTCTCTGTGCTTGTCCCACTGCTCAGTGCAGAATTCGATACTGTTGACCACAATATTTTGTTACAGAAATTAGAGCATGCCATAGAAATTAAAGGCTGCAGTGGTGTCAGTCATATGTAACAGGCTCAGAATTTTTCATTTAAATATATAGTCCTCTTCAAGCATTAAGTTCATTTCTGGAGTTACACAGGGTTCCATGCTAGGACCAATATAGTTTACATTATGCATACTTCCCTTAGGGAGTATCATTAGAAAGCATATACACACACTGCTGCTATGCAGATGATACCCAGTTTTACCTTTCTTTCTTAGGTGCACCAGCACAAAAGTTAGGTGCACCCAAATTTTTCAACCACATCACTTAACAACGCAACTTTACATGTTCACTTTTTTTAAAATTGCTGTCCATACTGACAATATTAATTTGTAAATGATTAACTAACAGTCTTGTCAAAACAACGTTCTTTATTTGGAGCACATTTCTACAAGGAAGATAAGTTACCGTATTTTTTGGAACATAAGACACACATTTATTATTATTTATTATTATTATTATCATTTATTATTATTATGAACTTTAGTCAACTCATTCTTCTTGCTTCCTCCACTTCTATACCATTGATTCATTAATGTTGAATTCTCTTGCAGCTGCTCTATTCTCATGTTCTACTTAGTGACTGATAAGAGTTTGAAATCCGCTTTGTAAGCATGTCTCTTAACAGGTGCCAGTTTTGGGGTGCACAATACACACAATATAGTAATATTATGTTGAAGCACAGTACGTATTAATCTGCGACGCTCCTGACTACAGTAGCCGTAATGCTCCAACAATTCATCAAGCGGTTCGGTTTCGTAGCTTACCAAAGTTGTACTTAAACATTTTGACAAATTTTTGAGCGCCGTGTACCACATAAAATCAGTTTGTGGTCAGTAAGCACAGTAGAATTCATACATAAGGCACACTTTTGAGGAAATGAAAGGATTTTAACTGTGCCTTATAGTCCGAAAAATATGGTACTGAAAAAGTTCTTCTGCTAAAGTTTTTCACTGAGCTGAAATTGAAAGTAAAAATATCTCAAGATATACAAAATAAAAAGAAAGCCAAAATTAAAATTGCACTCGAATGTCTGGCCTGCTGGTTTTTAGGTTATTTAAAGATAGAATGGAAGGCAGAGCCTTCAGTTTTTAGGCCCCTTTTCTCTGGAACCAGCTCCTAGTTTGGCCTCAGGTGACAGAAACTCTTTCTGCTTTGATGATTAGGCTTAAAACTTTACTTTTTGAAAAAGCTTGTAGTTATTAGATTACCCTAAACCCTCCCTTAGTTATACTGCAATAGGCCTAAACTACTGGGGACTTTCCACGATGCACTGAGCATTTCTTCTTAATTCACCTCTTTTCATTTGAACTGTTTTTATACACAACTTTGCATTTAATCATTAGTTTATACTATTCTCTGGCTCCCCTCCACTGTGTGTCTTTTGTCTGTCTCCCTCCCCTCACTTCCCCATCCATTTGTGGCAGATGGCTGTCCCTATCTGAGCCTAGTTCTATTGGAGTTTTTTTCATATGCAAAGGTTTTTCTTTCTGTTGCCAAGTGCTTGCTCATAGGGTTCAATTGAATGTTGGAGCTTCTGTATGTTCTGTTTTTTTGTAAGGTTAGTGAAAGATGCCCAACGGATTTACTTTAACAAATGGACCATCCCAGCCTTGCCGTATTGGTCTATTTGATTCACCTTTGCTTTTATTGTTTTATTTTCACTTGCTACACACGGGACAGACATGACTGGGGGAAAGAGAAGGGAGAAAGAAAGAGGGAAAGAAAAACAGCGGGGAAGAGGAACGGTGATAAAGGGCAAAAAACAAAAACCAACAAAACAAACAGACAAAAAATACATCACCTGGATCACCTGTTGAGAAAGAAAAAAGAGAAAACAAGCAGAAGAAAAAAAGAGCAATATAATAAACAACATCATCGCGATGATCTATGTGAATATAACAGTAAATACTAAATATTGAATATTATTGCAGCACGTAGGATTGACAGCGCACAGTGTGCTTTGAAGTAGAGGCCAAAAAGGGTGTAGTTTGTGTCTGTGAGCACCCGTGTGTACACCTGTGAGCATGAGCGCGCTTGTATTTAAAAGGTTCCTTCGTGTAATGATCTGCTAGAGGGTGTGGGGGGGCCATAACCCCGTCCTCCAGGGCATGAAGCAGGTATGGAGGAGATCCAGGCTCCAGACATCCAGAGGCCCTCAGAGCACAAGAGATCGAGGAAGATCAATGTAGGGGCAACCGTGCCACTCTCCTGGAAAGAGCTGAGGAGAGCCCCAGATGAGGAGTCACTCAGCAGCCGCGGAGCAGAAGCCGGGGGGGTTGCAGTGACGGGCTCGTGAGCTCCGCCGGCAGCCAGCTGTGCCAGCGTGGCCGAACCCCAGGCCTAGAGGCTGAGGGCACCCCACCCCCGAAGGGGCCTGAGCGAGCCCCAGGCTCCAGGCCCCAACAAGTAGCCACCAAGGAGTGAGCCGGTGCGTACCTGGACGCCCATCCCCGGACACAAAGAACCACCAATGCACCGATGTCTGAGGGAGTCTGTCACTGGCAGGGGGAGTGGTGGGGGAAGATAGGCCTCTATACCTTGGAGGGCTTGAGATGTCCCTCAGCTTCTGTATGTTATTGTAGGATCTATCCCCCTACAATATAAAACTCCTTGAGGTAACACTTGTTGTGATTTGGCTCTATATAAATAAAAGCGAACTGAATTTAAAGTTGTTTCTTTTTATTGTGTATGATACCAAGTGTACGGCGCATCACACTATTTTAGTGTTCTTCACTAAAACAAAAAGAAATTAGCTAAATACCCACGTTAATTTATTTGTTCACATTTCAGATTTCTTTACATTTTCTGGCTTATTTCTTGTCTCTTTAACACTCAAAATCAGTGACAAGAGTTAAGCTAATATCCTTTAACTGTGAAAACTAAACCATTTCATTGTGGGCTCTTCCTGTGCAACAAAACTACTTCCAAGAGAGCTTCAAGCCATAAAGAACCAGAGCTAATATTTATTTCAAAGACAACCCCTGGAAGAGCTACATCTGACAGATACTTTTGTTTAGTTTCCTGGGGATGTTGTGGTATTTTTAATATCAGATTCAAAAGACCACAAAGAACCATACAAAAATTAGCATTGGTAACAACTGAACTAAACTTAATCATCTACAGTGGCTTGCAAAAGTATTCGGCCCCCTTGAACTTTTCCACATTTT